AAGAGTCCACCTTCAGTTTGGTGCAGAAAGAGTCCACCTCCAGTTTGTGGAAGGGTTTGTGAACAACAGATGGGATGATACTCATATTTGTGAGATATATGCGTGCGGAAGAGGTAGAGAATGAGAGATAATCAAGGGCATTGAGCTGAAGTGGAAGAAGGTAGATGTCTTGGAAAGCAAGCTGGGTATGTGCAAAAGGGGAACAGGGAGAGCAGGGAGGTGACTTGTGCTCAGTTATGGAGACCTTGATTGTCAGCCAGTAGAGAACCATTTAGGGATATAAAAAGAGCTAGAACTAGAGTTCTAAGATGTCTCATCATTCAAAAATTCAGTATCTGATATTATTGAGGACAAACTGTTCAAATAATCCTCTAAGTTTACAAATGAGCAATATCAAGATTGTGAAAATTTGAGAAAATACTGATCCATGATTACTTCATGGAAGCAGGCAGAGTGGCTATGAGGCATTATGTTGAGTAAGCTCAATCTAACTAGGAGTGTGTAGCATATATATTTTTTGTTTTGTTCTAATTTTAATGTTGTTCCTGCTCTGTAAATATTAATAATGGGAAAAGCAAGTCAACTGAGAGAATAAAAATCTGGACATTTTTCTTGGTTAAACTAGCCTAACAATATCTATCTATGAGTTAGTGGCTAAAAATGCAATTAGTAATCAAACCAACACATCTTTTCTTTAAGTTCATGTATTTGACTTTAATCTGATATTCACTGAACTAGTGAGTTTAATATGATAAAAATTAATTTTAATGATAAAGAGGATGAAGAATCTAGCATTTTCCCCTCCAAACAATACTACAATTTAAATTTTAGACTAAATTTTGAGTGTACAACTCCATATACTGGCAATATATTTTTTAAACAAGATGAGAGAACTGCAGAAAATTTGCTTCAATTTTACATTTGTTCAAGGTGTAGTGAGTGGTTCCTATGCTACAGATACTGTATATCCAACACATTTCAACCGTTCCTAGTAGCACATAGTAGCTTTCTGTGGTTTGTGTTCAACAAACCTTAACTTGGAGAAGAAAAGGATACTGAGAATAGTTAAGTCCTAAGACTAAGGCAAACAAAAGGAATCAGTGGTATCAGAGTAAGGAGATTTTGATCAGGATATTTGTGTCAAATATGCCTGTATATGCAGTGTAGGCAGGATTTACTGGATAACTTACTGCAATTTGTGGGGTGACAAAACATTTTCCAGTGAAGACCACAGCTAAGATAAATTCTTTCTCCTACTTTGTTTTTCCAAAGCTGTAATGTGGCAATTTTTCTTTCAGTATTATGATCTATATTGACTGTAATAAAATACTAGAAATCACCTTGCAAACAGAATCATATAAAGTAAATCTTTGTTTTTTCCACTACAATTTCTGACTTTCTTTTGACTCATTTCCTTCTGCATAGATGGAATTACTAGCTGCTGCTTGAAAAGTTACAAACTTTTTGAGTTTGCAGACTGTTTTTCTTATAATTCACTGGATTTAACCACTCACATTTTGTAATTATGTCAAGAAGATCTATCAGTTATGGCTTAGAGGTATTCATATAGCCCTGTCTTCCTTTCTCTTTCATTTCAAATCATAATCAGCACCTAAGCGTCCCATGCTTATCTGTTGTTAACTTGGTTATTTAGTCAGATCTTCACTTGATGTGAGTAATTAAGGTATGGAGTAAGTCCTCCTCCAATAATTCATTCTTTCACAGAAAAATATCATGAGTGTTCCAGGAGGGCATAACACATTTTTTTCATTTTTTTGTTATGAATTATGATTTTTGATATAAAATATACCCTATTTAGTGTCACTCAAATTAAAATTTTTGGCTGAATCATGAGTATGACAATTTAAAGTGAGATGTGTTTAAAATGATTCAAATGGGAAAAAATTCTTTATATAAATACACATGAATCAATCAAATATTAACTGTATTTCTTTGAAAATAATTTTAGAAATATATATGTAAGAAATGAATATAAAGAATAAAATGTTTTTTGGATGAAGATATAGTCAATAATTATTGATTAAAGTGGAAAAATCTGAATGAAAATTTTAGAAAATCACGAGCTTTTAAAGTATGAGTCATTTTCCTCAATAATCTAACATTCATCACTAATATGAATTTGTTACATCTTAACCTAAGTGCTTCTTCACCCATTCACATGCTTTGCTCAGTCTTCCAGATTGTAAATGTGCTTATATTTGAGGCAAATTTTGAAGGGCTCATAGAAGGTAAGAGTTACTTATGTTTTTCTCAGAAGCAAATAGTAACCTAAGGACCAAGGGAAATGATTTTCTCTTCAGATCCAAATAGCAGGACCAAGTAGGTAATTTAAAGGGTAGAGAAACAATTCTTGGTTTAATAATGTTAGTACTCATGAATAACAAACAGTTCACTAGCATGCCAACAAGCTCCAATCTACTAAGTTCTTTCAAATATTGTTTAGGGAATTTGGATCCCCATTGCAGATCTCTGGCTAATTTACAAGAGTAGTAAACAAAATCCTAGATTCAAAGCCAGAGCAGTTTAGTTCTTAACATGCTCATGATAAATGTAATTTAATTTCATTTTTTATCTGTTACAGGAGCTACTGGTTATTTAGAAAATTAATTACTTCTCTGTAATGCAACACTCTAAGAACATCTGCATATTCCTATGCTAGGGAGAGGAGTACCGCCATGGAGTTTTTGGCAACAATGTAGGATCTACTGACATGGAAAAGATAACTGGTCAGGTTATTTTTAAATAATACTAAAGCATGTTATTGTTTCTGGCAGTGGCTTTCTAATTGTTTTGAACACAGTTCACATTCAAAGTGTCATACCCAGCGTGCACACACACACCTAAAAACAAAATTTTCATGAGACAACACTCAACTTTTTTCTTTTATTCTATTAAATAGAAAGTACTTCTTATAAGCCACTTAATTAATTTCCTGATCCACTAATCAGATTTGACTATTTCACTGCTCTATAAGAAAACCAAGGCTATAGTTTCTAAAGTATATAATTATTATCAGAATGAAAAGTTCTCTTCTGGTGGGGTAGGATGAGATAGCATTCTATTTCAGCATTTATCTTTACTATAGATATTTTCTGCTTTGCTCTTATGTGTACAAGAGCAAATGCAGGGTATAGGTAAATAATTTAGTAAGAGTATTCATTTCAGTAAGGATAAACATAATGTTCCACTATTGTTTTGGGTTTAATTAAAAAAATCATGCTTAAGAAATATTCTTCCATTCACCTAAAAAATAGCAATAGGAGTGAATATAAATAAATGACTGTTTTAGCATCCAGTAAGATATCCTACTATATAGGATATAGTGTATCCTGTAGTATTGCTATCGGGGTTCAATTAATTTTTTTAAATGAGTAACTAATCACAAGGTTAAAATATTTCTATATTCAATTAAAGTGCAATATTTATAACAAACTTTGATTTGCTGTAAAATTTTCTTTAAAAAATTAAATTTTAGAATAATAGCTATAGAAGTATAGCCAGTAGGAAGTGAATCTACTGAATTTACTGTTCTTTCTAAACATATGTGCACATTGATCTTTATGGTTGTATCATGTTGAAAAAAAAATTAGCTATTTTACCAAGATATAAAACAGTCCCCAAAGAAATTAGGACAGACAATGAAAGATTTACACAATACATATAAAAAGATAGGACTTTTAAAAAAAAGGGTCAATGGTTATAATTAAGACATTTTTTTCCCTTCATTTTTGGGTAACATTTTACCTAACACTGAAAATGTCTGCATCTTGAAAGTCTAAAAGAATTAAGTGATAAAAGGTAAAACCAGTTGATCCTGGAAGCTTTTGTGTATAAAATTTAACAGGTATTCAAATCAAAATATTAATATATTCAGAGCTAAAGAAGTAGCCTAATTAAATCTCAAGTATATATAAATGGCTTAAAAGGAAGCACACTCTGGGCCCTCCTGGTGGCTCTGCGGGTTAAAGCACAGCACTAACAAGCTAAAGCTACTTCCGCATGAGTTCCATAGATGGGCCGCCCAGAGGTGACCCACATGGCGCGGCAGACCTCTACCCACACGCCCGCTGCTCCCCTCTGCGGTGTACTTCATCAGCCTGTTCTGCTCCCTACTCTGTACCTGGTGGATCCTCTTACCACCCCTGTACCTCTGGCCTGTACCCCAGTTCTGTATGCATAAATAAATAAAACTTAAAAAAAAAAAAAGGAAGCACACTATGGTATATTTAGGTAGGACATTAAATAAGAATGTTCATGTAATTAATTTTCCTTTTGGTTCATAAAAATGGAGGTGTAGCAGCAACTCTGTTGCTACTTCCTAATGTTGAGGATTTTGGGAATTTCAAAGAAGCATATTAATATTAAGAAGCATCTCCTTTTCTTATTTAGCAGGTGGAAGTGGTCAGTTTTATTTACTATGATATGGATCTCACCCCAGTCAGCTAGTCACTGTCAAGAGCTTGGTCCTTGCTCAGTCTTATTTCCTTTTTGTCTTGATTGTATTCCCCTTTATATTTTTTTCAAATATGTAACTAGGTTATTTTCTTTATAATCACATGTCAAAAAACCCCCTCTATAACTTCCAGTTTCTCTTCCACATATGAAAACGCTAGGATTAGTCTAGACTGTATATGGATTCTGAGTTTTTGCTCTTCTAAAATCAACTTTATCAACTAACTTAGCACTTCAAACTGCGATCAAGATAAACAATTTCCCCCAATCTCTCTTTTTTCTTCAACTGAAAAATAAGGATAATGATTTGACTTCATCATGATAGTAATCTATAGGGAAGTAATGTTAATAAATTTTCATGAAGATCTTCTGTAATTACCAATATTAGTATATACAAATACTTAAATAAGAAGCAATGACTTTATGAAGGGTTTGAAAACATGATGATAACTTTGGCATCCAGTTTACCTTCTCAACGTATGTTGATTAAAGGTGCTTTTATGCATATAGACATCGTATCATCTTACCTGAACCGTTTTTCAGATACCCATTTGCATCTACAGTTGTATACATAATATAAGGTCCAGGCTGATTTACTCCAAAGGGCTGCAAAATAAGGAGAAGGAATAAGGAGAAGGAAAGATAGTGAACTATTTGAAGTTGCAGGGAAATTAATTACAAATAAAGTAAAATATCCTTACATATAATCCTTAGAGAAAGCACTTCGAAAACATCTCCATACATAGATTAACACTTCAAAAGAAAACCTATTAGAAAATTTCGAATGATTTGATAGCTATATTTATTAAATTTATTTGGTTTATACATTTATGCACTGTTTATTATATGTGGTTGAATATTTTATGTAAAATTTACTACTTTTGATTCCACCATGAATAGGCTATGGCAGTTTTATTTTAACATTTCTGTTGAATATTGCTTTTCCCTTCTGGGATAGAGTGAACATAGTTCAATTTTCCTTTTAAAATATGAAGGTAAATAAAATGCATCCATTATAATTAAGAAAAGGTAAATCACCACATTTAATTTCCTGCAACAGATTTAGATAGGGCTTTGATTTTGAGTTAAGAAAAACATGATTGACAGAGCTTTGTTACAATGGTGAAGTGTTTTCCAATTTGTCTATTGTTTCTGTAAGATTTTCACACCCAAATGTAATGATTTATTTATTCTTTTTAGAAATTAGGGCTAATTAAATAGTTATAAATAAACCAATGCTTGCAATATGCAACAGAAGAAGAAATGACAAAACACTGAAGAAATGCTTTGAACACTTCACAGAATTTAAAGTGCTACTGTTCCTCCCAACAGAGTAGGGCAGAGTCAACACATCTGGATAGTGCTTTTCTTCTAGAATGACAGAAATAATTAATTTCATCGATCCCACCATTGCCTGTTTAATATTTTAAGAACTGTAGAAGTTCATGTGAAAAAATAGATTATAAGATTGCAATAACTACTTATATTATTAACTGAATAAAAGATACATGAAGAATAATAAGCAAGTAATAAAACCAACTTGTTAGTGAAGTATTACCTAGAAAGAAGAATATTATACTTTCTAGTAATCTATATTCTGTAAGACTGGTATCTGGCTGTAAGAATTGTTTTCTGTGAAAACACTCCTTATTCTTAAATATTATAATTAAAATTCACACATGCAAAATTTCATACTACTACTACTTATGACACCTTTAAAATGCCTTTACAAGGGCATTTTCCCCTCTCCTGTACTATATTAAAACAAATAAGCCAGGTGAGTGAGACTATCATAAGTCCTAACGCTGAAGCTCATTTTTCAACATGGAATCTTTAAAGACAGGTCCAGAAACCTTGATACAATTTTTCTATATGGTTGATCTTAAAGTATGGTTAAAGACCCCTGAGAATACGAAAAACCTACTGTTAAAAGGGTGGTAATGAGCAGTGGCAATGAATTATGGTTATCCAGACTTGGATATTTAGCTAACATTTCCTTGAAAATGACAAAGTGAGTCTGTCACTTTCAGGTAAACAACTAGGAGTGCTTGTTGCCAGTGATAAGATTTGAGTTTCTAAGTGAAAATTGGGATTTTGAAAGATTTGCAATTGCTACTATGGCTTGACATATTAAAAACTGAAGCCAATTTTCTGATGAAATTGGTGGAAGAAGTAAAACTATCACTATTTGCAGATGGTATGATCATATACAGAGAAAACCAAAAAACTTCCTGAGAAAAATTAATCAAAATAATCAACCAACTTAGTAGAGTAGCAGGATATAAAATCAACACACAAAAATCAGCAGCCTTCCTATATGCTTTTAATTTGAAGAAGAAATCAAGAAAACCAATCCTTTTATAATTGAAACAAAAAAATTTCAGACACTTGGGAATTAACCTAACAAAAGAGGTGGCAGATTTATTTTTGTTTTTAAAGATTTATTTGTTTATGCTTAGAGAACTGGGTACAGGCCAGAGGTATAGTGTGTGAGAGGCTTCACCAGAGACAGGGGGAACAGAACAGGCAGATCAACTGAAATACACTGCTGAGGGGAGTAGCAGGTGTGTCAGGAGAGGTCTGTCATGCCATATGGGTCAACTTCCTGGCTGGGAATCCAACTGATGCTGCAGTGTCTTCTGAGAGTTTCATAGTGTAGCACCTCTACAGAGAGCCCAGCAGATCTATTTTTAACATTTTAGAAAACTCTATCCTCTTTTATTGGCTTACTTTCCTTAATATAGGGTTCATCTATGTTGTTATATGTGTCAAAATTTCCAGTATTTTTTATTGCGGTAATGCCAGTTTGCAATACTGCCTATGATGGAATTGGAGGGGATTATACCAGGTGAAATACATCAGTGGGAGAAAGACAAATATTGGGTGATTTCAGCCATATGTGGACTGTAAAGCAACAAAACAAACAAACAAACAAACAAACAAACAAACAAAAAAACAGACAAAAACCACTGAAATATCTGCAGAACTGAGGCTACTAGAGAGGGAGAGATGTGGTGAGGTGCAAAGGCAGGAGAGAGCCCAATGGGCATATTGCCTTAGTAGCAGGTAGAATGTGGTAACATACATCTGAAGACATGTGAACCTGTACCCCTAAATCATAGACAACTTTCTTCCTCTATACAAGGAGACTTCTAAGTACCTGAGTTGAACAGAAAGAGGCACAAGGGTTTTGTCCTGGTTTCTATGTGGTGGGGACAGGTTCTGAGTGAGGGAGTCTAGGCACAGACCTGCTGCTGCCTTTGCTGAATTTAGTTTCACTTAAATTCTCCAGCAGTACTTTTGAGGATGCTGTCTGGTGGAAAGGCAACCCTAGTTGTCTAGGTGCAAAGACTTCTTGATCAATGAAACAAATACATACTAGATTTTATATAGAATGAACTGCTTTCTTTTAAAATTTTTTTTGTGTGCATTAAGATTTAATAAATTGATAAATTTTGGTAAGAAAGGATTACAACAGTTATTTCTGTGGAGTGCCCAGTGCTGTGCATTATCATCTAGCAAGTTCACACATATATGTGAAAACGTTAGTATCACACAACTCTCTCATATATCACTCTTCTCTTCCATGTCTATTTTTTGAAGGAATTGAAATAATTTTAATGATTTCTCAATCTCTCCATATTATAATAAAAAAGGACAATATTGGCTCCTTTTGTCTTATTCTATGGTGTATCATACTGATGTAACACTGTGTAGATGTTGTTTTATCCAGATTCTTTTAAAATACGTGTCCTGTATATGCCTACTGACTTACAAAAAATCAGGGTCAGAATTTGGCATACATTTATTTCTTTTTTAGTGGCCTGAACAAATCTTGGTAATTTTTGTATCAGTATCAATTGCCTGATAGTCTAAGGATTTGTCTCTAGGCTCTGAGCTCCTACAGTGAAGACCAAATGTATTCTACATCATTGGCTCTGGATGGTTAAATATTTCGAAGACATATTATGTGAGATAAAATCTATATTAGATTTTAATTGTGTAGTATTAACTTATGATTCTAAACTATTAGAAAAATGACTGCTTTATAGTATGACTTAATTTATATCAAAGATAATTCTTGTTTATGTTTTTAGTAAATAATCACTGATATTTTTCCTTATCATTAGTGCTATCTTTCCCCATTTTGCTCAATATTAAATTTGCATATTGTTTTTTACTTATTTACCCACTATATTAAGTTAGATATTTGCTTCAATTTGGTTACTTTTCTGTTAAAAATTCAAGGTAGTTTATCTTAGTAGAAGATTATAAAAAGACAGAGAAGTGTAAAATGTAAAAAATATTTATGTCAATTATATTTCTATACTTTGGTATATGATAGTATATGATAGTACCACTGCCAGGTGTGATAAAAGAAAGGCAAATAGTATAGAGAATGAGATTTTAACAAAATGGTAATAAATCAGCTGTGATCCATAAATACTTATTGAGTAATGCCTGATATCTTCCAAAGGATGGGCACTAAAACAGTATCAGCCAGATAATTCCCTTAATCAAAACAAAGACTGACAAACTTATTAGTTTATACTTTGCCAGAATATTTCTACATAGAGCATATGAAAGCATGAAAACCTTTTTGATTGAAAAGATGAAAAGCCAGAGGGAAGAAATCAAACACTCCAAAAATTAACAACACTGTCAGAAAATAATTATTTTTTAAAAAAGCCAGTAGTAAGACTTTGTGATAATGTTACTACCAAAGTTTAGAAGGTGATGAGATGGAAGAAGGGCCAAGAGGAGGAGGGGGTGAGCCAAATCTTCATCTTTTATCACAGGTAGGAAGTAGAAGTTTTTTAAGGTCAATGACTTGATGAATTTTATTTAGTTTAAAAATAAATATTGGTGGAAATGAGCCAGGGAGTGAGAAAAAAAAGATATGAAAAATGTCAAGGCATTTTGTTTTGCTAATATATTAAAAATCTGTTTGCACTAACAACGGAAACATTTGTGTCTCACCATGGGGTAGCTCTGGGAACAGAAATGAGGGTCTTTCCCCCTTTATATCAGGGTTTTGCAGAATGCATTCCTTTTGTGAAGTTTATAATTTATTATGCAGATGTTCACAATTAATATATGATTGTGGGAAGAGATGGTATGATAAACTTATCACTTGAAGTTTTAGGGCAAACTCATTTATTCTTTATACCAAATACTGAGTTATTACATGTCAGGTACTATGTTAGGAAATAAGCAGAAAACAGTAAAGAAGACATACTCCTTTTCAAGGAATTTATGTAGGTAACTCATCAATTACAGAATAAAAAGGAATAATTCTCAGAAGAAATGAAGAGTATCTGAGAGCTGACCTGGTGGTCCTATGGAGGAATCTAGGAAAAGGTGGAGAGGAAGAGGCTTTAGGGAAGAGGCGTCATATGTCAGGGGCTGGAGGTGATAGTAAGGCAGACCACATAGTATAGTGGCTGACGCATCAACTTGGGAGGAGGTTGGAGGAGAAATGGTAAAGGAGGCTGAGGAAGAAGCACACAACAGCACTATCTCAGTAAGCCAGATCTGGGAAACCACCAAAGGTTTGCATTAAGAAAGATCATGGTGATTGCTTTTTGAAAGATGGTTTAGGTAATTTCATCAGTCAGGAGAAAAATGATGATGTCCTGAACTAAAGTAACAAGAGACATTGAAAGGATAGTTATGGGGCAAGAATAATAACTTAGGAGATTTAGGTGGTAAGGAAAAGAAAAAAGTAACTAGTAGGCAAAGGAATGAGTTTTTCTGAAGAAGCACTAGATTTCATTTTTGGATATTGCTGTAAGACACTCAGTTGTGAAGATCTGAAGTGCAGAAGAGATGACTGGAAAGTAGACTTAGGAGTAATCAGTATGCAAATGGTTAAAAAAGCCAGGGGAGAGACAGTGATGATTTAGAGTATGCACAGATGCCCTCCCTGGTGGAGCAACAGGTCAAAGCACAGCACTATGAAACTCTCCTCAGCCACTGCATCATGAGTTCAATCCCTGGCCAGGGAGCTGACCCACAGGGCACAGCAGATCTCTCCTGTCTCGCCCACTGCTCCCCTCAGCAATGTATTTCAGTTGATCTGACTGTTCTGCAACCACTTTCTCTCTGGTGAGTCCTCTGACCACATCTCTGGCCTGTACACCAATCCTTGAATGCATAAATAAATAAATCTTAAAAACAAAACAAAACAACAGAGTCTGGCCATGGGGCTAAAGCAGAGTAAGAATGGAAACTCAAAATGGGTTTCCAAAATGGAGATAAAAGAACGTGGGTGAGACTGGCTGCCAACTTGAATAATTCTCCCCTCTGCATAACTGTGCAGGCTGCCTGCAGCATGTGGGACACTCAGGTAGCAGCAGGGTTATTCAGGTCATGAATGGCACTTGGTCTGCACACCTCCCTATTCTCACGCAGGTCACACCTATTGGGGGACACTTCTGAGCATGACCAAGGGGGCCTGACATCTAAGCAACATGAAGAGGGCCCACTTTCCCATGAAAGCCTTTCACCAGATGGCACACATACGCGAAACTGGGAATGAGTAGTGTGCTTTGGTTTCGTTTAGACTATCATGGCTGCGACCCATGATATAAGTAGGGAAGGAAAACGACAGATGTGAAGGGCAGTTCAACAAGATCTGAATTTTAAAGAAAGCAATAGATGAAAGAACGGGAGGCAAACCTTTCATCTGTAAAAAAGCACAAAAGTGCTGAACTGTTAGTCACTGTAAGAATCTGCTCCTGGACTTTCTAAATGAATCTGTTTTCCATACAGAGAAGTGGCGTTTAGTTTTAGATAAGGAGAGGGCGCATTATTGCTCTTAGAAGTACAACTGCCTTAATCATACAGCCTTCCCTATCAAATTTTCTGCTAGAAGTTGTGGGTACAATGAGTGGGTTTAATCATTTTCAATTTTTAAAGTTCTCCGCTTGATTGTGTAATGAAAGTCACACATCAGGATATGGTCACTGAGAAACAGGGAGAGTAACAAAAGGCTTGAATATCTTACAGACTATATACATAAAATCTGAAATTAAAATTTAGGTGCTCTACTCTTAAAACTTTTAAAAAACAGACTGCTTTTTAGATCATAGCAAACTAAATGGAAAGTACAGAGAGATCACATACCTTTTGCAGTCCCTGTCCTTACTGCCTACCTCCTTACAGAACCACAATTTTATCATGATACAAAAGCATGTGGGTTTGATCAGCCTATCCACTTAGGGCTGAGGCATTTATTCCTCGAGCTCCTCTAAGCACTGGCTGCTTGGTTTCCTGCCTAGAAATTGTTCTCAGTCAAAGGCAGCTGACTCCTGTAAACCAAAAACCTTTCCTGGACATTGCCTCTGCACACAATGTCTAACTGGTGCCACAGTACAAGTGCTTGGCCCCCTGCATCTCCATTTGGGCCATCTTTGAAAGGAAACCCAAGCTTCACAGCATCTCATGCATGCATCACAGATCAGTGGTTCTCGCCAGGTCTGCTTTCCTTACTAATGCAGAAACGCTGTTCAAATCTCTGCAAAGTCTTTTCTGGGTGAGGGTCTGTTACCATTTAAGTTTGGGACGTTTCCTAATGACACATAAAATGCGGATAGTAAAAATATGAGACTATAATCAGAGCAACTAATGTTGTTTTAGCTCTACTACTTACAACTTTGTGACTGGATAATTTAATTCCTCTGAGTTTCATTTTCCTCATCTTTAAATTGGGGATAATTTGTTATAAAACAGTGGTTACTAAGAGGACCCACTCAGGGATATATACCTACACACACACTCACTCCCAAATAAAATATAACAATTTACATCAACTATGCCTATTTCACATGTTGTTATTACACATGAAGCAATCCATTAGACAAGTCAGTATTAAGATTGACTTAATACTTAAAAAAGTTATCTACTGTGTGCTTGAGCCTCTGCTATGTGTCAGATATACAAAAATGTCATGGTTCTTGATCTTAGGGGATTACAGTCCAGTGTGTAGAGACATGTGATATAAACATATATGCAATCAAGTAGTGTATAAGCTGAACTGGTAATAGGAAACAGAGGAATCAAGGGAAGGGTTGGCATATTTTTCAAGGGTATCAAAAGGTTTCATCTCATCCTTGAGGTGAGAAATTTTTAATGAAAGGTACCTTAAATATTTCTAAAGAACAATGAAAATTTAATTATAACCCATAAAAACCTATTTTGTGTATATTTATCAAGCAAAGAATTTTCATTGACACAATAACAACAGAGAGTGAAGTTTACTTACTGTGATCTTACGAGGACAGTCATTAGAACAGAGACCACTAAGAACTGTGGAAAAATAAAGAATAAGCTATTACTACTGCTACAATGTAAGCTTATATTTACAGTGAGCTCTAATTCCTTCTCCCCAAATCTATGAATATGCTATTGATTCACGATGACAAGCAGAAATCAACTTCTTTATCTGAATGAATGAATTCTGTTGTTCATAGGGTGCCAATATTTCAAAAAAAATTATTAAGCAATCAGGGATGATGCTACTATTTCATAAAATATATAGGCGAAAACCAATCACACGTTACCTTACTTGCAAAACAGGTTTCAATGTTTAAGTTTCTTAAATCATCACTGTGCCTGGTTCTTACTCTTTCATTTTAAAACTTTACATGCCTTCTCCAATATTTCTTTTTTCCTCCTCAACTAGGCAGCTATTGGTGCTTCTTTTGCACTTATCTCAAAATGACTTTTATTAAACTCCATTTAAACCATTCTTGCTGAATATTATTTATTCACGAGTTGTCTTTGTACTAATATATAAACTCTGCATCATTTTATTCTTATTTTCTCAGGCCCTTACCTAACATTTTTTGCTAAATAAGCTTGTCAAAGTATTATTTAAAAAGATCCAGTATTTAATAAATAACTACTAGGAAGAAAATGAAGTTTTTACCTTATAACATAAAATTTACATTTGGCAAAGACACAACAGGCAAAGAATCTAAATAGGCAGTTCTCCCAAGAAGATATACTGATATACAAAGTTCATGAAAAGATGGTGAATGTCATTAGTGATCACCATAATGAAAACCAAAACAAATGAACACACATGTTCCTAACAGCTGTATTCACCATGTCAACTGACCTATGAATGTATAACAAACAAAATGCTGCATGTCAACATAATGGAATATTATTAACCTAAAAGAGGACACTATGCTACATGAAGTAAGCCAGGCACAAAAAGAGAAATACTGTACCAATCCACTTATCTGATATATCTTGAATACATTTAACACCACTACACTTAAAATAATTAAGGTAGTAAATTTTATAATTTGTGCTTCCACCATAAAAAATGGCAAGATGATAACATAAAACAAACCCACAACAAGTTACCACCTCATTTCCATTAGGATGGCTATGATAAATAAAGTAAAAAACAAAAACAAAAACAAAAAAACTGTTGGTAAGGATGTAAGGAAATTGGGTCCTCCATGCATTTCTGGCCCAAATATAAATCAATGTAACTGTTCTGGAAAAACATCTGGCAATACCTTAAAAGATTACACATGGCTTTCCCAATGAAGTGCCATAATTCCATTTGTAGATGTATCTCAAGAGAAATGAAAATGTATGTCCACACAAAAAACTTGTAAATGAATGTTCACAGTAGTATGATTCATTATAGTCAAAAGGTGAAACCCATCAACATGTCTATTAACTGGTAAACAATAAGTGGGATGCTCATACATTGGGACATTGTTTGGCACTTAAAGGGATACAGTACTGATATATGGCACAATATGGAGGCAGCTTGAAAACATCGTCACATGGAAGTCAGTTATAAACAACTACATGTGATTCCATTCACGTGAATTGTCCAGAATAGCTAACTGATGGCCACAGGAAGTAGTGGTGGTCTAGTACTTCGGGGGTGGGAGGTCGAGGATGATAGCTAAGGGTAAAGTGTCCCTTCTGTGATGATAATGTTTAAAAATTGAGTGTGGTGATGTTTGTACAATTGTGAATAATCCAAAAGTCATTGAATTTTATATGCCAAGTGGGTAAATTGAATGGTATGTGAATTATATCTCAATAAAGTTAATGTGAAATAATAAAGACACCACAAAGTAAAACTAACAATAAACTTGAAAAAAATATGAAGTAATATTATTGTTAATATTCAAAGAGCTCTTAGGTAAATTATAAGAGCTATCAAGTAACAAAAAAAAAAAAAAAAAAAAGGGGAGAGAGAAGCAATATCCAGAAGAAGAAATGCAAATAATGAACAACCACGAAGGAAGACTCATCTTCACTAGTAAGGGGTAGTTATTCGGAAGCGCACATTCTCATGTTTACTGTAAGTTGAATTGTAAACTGACACCATTTCTATAAAGGAACATCTACTAAAATAAAAATCATGTATAGTACAAAGTTCAAAACCAGGCAGAATTAATCTAAATGCTGGAAATCAAGACAGCAGTTACCTTTGGGCAAACTGAGGTAGTGACTAATAAGGGAGTGATGTAGAACTTTCTTGTTGCTAACATGTGTTTCTTGATCTGAGTGTAATTATGTAAGTATATTAACATTTTGAAAATCTATTGCATTTAGGTATATTTTTGTGTATGTTATACTTTAATAATTTGTTTATTAAAATGCATGTGCATTTTTTTACCCTTCATGAATTCACTCTGATATTATTTATTATAATGAGACTGAAAATAACTTTGATATCAATAAGAAACTCAATTATGATATATCAGAATTCAGATAAGGCAGATATAGATAACATTTCTTGGTATAATCTACAAGATATATTGTTAAGTGCAAAAAACAAAGCATAGAAATACCACTTATACTGATATATACTTGCATATACATAAAATATTTTGAACAGGCACAAAGAGGTTGTTTTGGGGAAGAAAAACTGGACCACTGGGAGATAGCGGTAAAAGGGAGATGTACTTTTCACCAAACACACTTTTGTACTTTTTTCACCATTTGCATGTACTACTTATTCATAAAACAACTTTATTAATGAAATTTAAACTGTAGAGAGCTCAGATTACTATGTGGTAACCGTATCACATGCTGTTGGGAACGTGTATACCTGTAACTCTGGGAAAGGTAATTTTTCAATATTAGCTATTATGCAGAAACATTGCCTTCAACTCTTCAGTTTTATGTCTCTTTGGAAACCACCTACGCATTACTAAAGGAGGAAATCCTGTACACACTGTGAGACATCGTGGTATTCTGAAGTAACATGGAGCAACGCATTCTAAATGAAGACAAATTCTAATGTTGAACGGTATTCATTCTCTCTCGCTGAGGTAAAAAAAACCAAGATGCAGAAAAATGTTGGATTCTTTTTCTGTAGTGTTCCCTGAATCCCACAGACAAAATGCTGGCAAAACAAGTCGGACACAGAGTTTACATCTTATGATATTCAGAAAAGTGAAAAATAATCTATGGTGAAAGGAATCAGAACAGTGGGTATAGTTCTACAGATGGTCCTGACTGCATTGGGCAGGAATATGAGGACAGCTTCTGGAGTACCAGAAATATTTCATATTGATTGGGTGTAATAGGGGATATACCTATATAAAAGTTCACCAGCTATACATTTGAATCTTATTTCCTCTGTACAACCCTTGCTACAACCTTCTTTTGTTTCCTTACCTCACACCAATATGGCTGTATTTAGCCTGGGTCTGACTCATTAATTATGAACATGTACTTTTTTCCTTTGATCAATGCTGCAAAATTCACCTTCACCATCTACACATTTGCTCATGGTCACTCTGTGACTTAAATAAGCACAGTAGTTAACTTGATTGGGTCATGGGATACCTGCATATTTTGTTAAGCATTATCTAGATGTTTCTGTGAGGGTGTTTTTGAGTCAGATAAACATTTAAATCAGTAAACTAAGTATAACCATTTGCTCTTCATAATATGAATGGGACTCAGTTAATCAGTTGAAGACTTGAGTAGAACCCAATGCTGACTCTCTCCTAAGTAGGAATTCTGCCTGTTGGCCTTCAAACTAGAATATAGCTTCTTTTGCCTGACAAACTGTAATGCTGGTTCCACCTGGTCGTACAGGTGCATGTTGGCCTTTGAACCAAACCAGACATTAGCCATCTTGTTTCCTTCTGAAGCAGCGTCTAGCCTCCAGACCTGAACTGGGATATCCATTTAGCAGATTTGGAATTTTCCAGCTTTCATAATTATATAAGTCAATTGTTTACAATATTTTTTCTTTCTCATTCTTTTTTGCTATAATGTTTTAGTTTTAGAGAACCCAACTATCTGTAATTACTGTGAGTCATTAACAAAATCTTTTTTTTTTTTTTTTACCATTCATTAATGGATACCATCAATATTCTCCCTGGAACGCATTTCTGCAATTTTTCTCACCCTTGTTCTGGTCTTGAGCAACTACTAACCTTCTACTTATCTACTTTGTTTATGTGCTTATATATTTTGTACTTCGTGTATATTTTATAGAAAAATTTAGAAATACAGAGAAGAAAACATAAGTCACTTGTAACCAAACAGTCTAGATACTGTTAATTGATTTGTTCTAAGATGGAGGTATGGACTGAATGGCTCTGCCACCCAAAGTTCATATAGTGAAGTCCTAATCCAGCTTCCCTCCAGTCACCCACCCCCATGTATCTGTTTGGAGAAGGACTTTCTAATGAAGCAATTAAGATTACATGAGGTCATAAAGATAGAATTCTGATGTGACAGAATTAGCATCCTTGATAAGAAGAGAGTTAAGAGGACTTCTGCATGCCTCCTTGCCCTTCACCCCTGCAAAAGTGGGGGTCATGTAGCACCCAGCAAGGTGGTGGTGGCTGACAAAAGTGGAGAACTCTTGCAATCTACCTAGAAACCTATGTGACACCCTCATGTTGGACTTCCTACCTTCCAGAATAAAGAAAAATACATTTTCTTTTTTAGACTGCCTAGTCTGTGGAACTCTGTTGTGGAAGTCCAAGTAGATACACATATATGTCTACACACACAATTTATAATTTTACACAAAAAATTTGCAATTTTTAATCTTTTTGGTTTCTATTTGTTTTCTGCAGACATTACTCTTAGAATACACATGTATACGTATGATGCATTTAAATTTTGTCCTTTTGATCCTATTGTCAAATATGAAACTTAGATTTGAATAGAGAAAAATCTTAATCCAAAATCTGTAATCCAAACTTTCCCCTATCCTAAGTATATTTCTACCATAACTGCATGATATTCTGCTGCATGTACATGGGTGTGTGTGTATGCATATACAAAAATATGATCTC